AGGGAGTGTGCAGGTGGAGGGGAATGTGCAGGTGAAGGACAGCAGGCTGTGCTGGGCATGTGAAGAGCAGGGTGAGGTGGCGGCAGGCAGATGAGATGAGGCTGACCAGGGTGAGGCAGGGCTTGCCTGGAGTGGGGCTCTGCAGGTTGGACCTGGACATTGGGGTTTTATCTGAAGTGCCCCTGGGCGTGCTAAGAAGGGTGAAGGGGATTTCATTCCTGTGGGGGTCTCCTCACTGACCCCCACTATCCTAAACTGTTACCTCCCTCACAGAGGCCCAGTGGGGTGACAGGGTGATGTGTCATCTCTCCAGTCCCCCTCCCTTCGGTGCCCCAGAGCCTCCCATCCCAGGGGCGGGAGCTGGAGTGGCTATAACAGTCCCTGACAGCCCAGCCAGACCCTCTCCCAGACAGACAAGTGTCAAATATTCATGAGGATGAGAAGCTGTCACTCGTTGCCCTCCCCCGAGGTCTGATGGACCTAGTCCATAGGACTCACCCCCTCCTGGCGGTTGTGTGGCTCTGCCCCAGCTCAGCCACTGTGGGCTCCTCATTCCTACTGTGAGGACCCCCTTCATAGAGGGTGGCTCACAGGGGCCCCGGCCCTCAGTCATGTGGAGGACCTGGCCCACGGCTCCTGCCACCCCGCTCCCTGGACCCTGCTCAGGGAGAACACACCGGGACTCCTAGCCTGGGAGCACAGCGGGGCATTTGTGAGCAGGGCCTGGGCCATGACTCAGGGGCTGGGGAAGCCCTTCTCAACTCTCCAGGCCGCTCAGAGGGCCTGGCCCCAGAGCCAAGCGGCTCATAGCCAAGGCCGCCTGACTGTGGAACCAGGAGCCATGAGCGCTGTGGCTCTGAAATGAAAGTCTCCGCTGGGACTTCTCTCCTTATCTTTAAAATGGGGTGGCAATGCCGACCTCTGGGTTGTCATGACGATAAGATGACACTGAGACCCAGATGAGAATGCAGGAGGGGAGCTCTTGGCCGGCCGCGGGGCCTCCAGGCTTTCCAAGAGGAAAGAGCTCAGGCCTGGGCTGCAGAAGGCGTCCCCGGGGCCAGGGGTGCCAGCCCTGTCCTGAGAGGGGGTCCTGCCCAGGCTCCGAGGCCACCTCAGTTTCTGCCTCTGACCCCTCCCCTAACCCAGACCCTCAGCAAAAATTCATGCGGTAACGAAGCAGCAGCTGCCTGTCTCCTCTCACCCCAACCCTGGGACCAAAATAAAGGCTTTATTCATCAGGCCATTTCTCTCCTGAATCAGATCATTAATAATGGAGAAGACGGCCCCAGCCAGTTTGGCTCAGTGGATAGAGTGTCAGCCACGGACCGCAGGGTCCCGGGTTGGATTCCGGTCAAGGGCACGCACCTGGGTTGCAGGCTCCTCCCCAGCCTGAGTGCAGGAGGCAACCAATTGATGTGTTTCTCTCACATCAATATTTCTCTCTGCCTCTCCCTCTCCCTCTCTTTTCCACTCCCTCTAAAAATCAATGGAGAAATATCCTCAGGTGAGGATTTAAAAAATAAAAATAAAAATAAACAATGGAGAAGATGCTCCCCCGGATGGGTGTGTGTGCATGTATGTATGTGCGTGCATGTTTGTACATGTGAGTATGTGTTCATGTGTAGTGTGGAGGGGCCTCCCTCAGCGTCCCTGGCATCCTGGAGCCCTGTCTCCCCGCCCTGGCTCCCTCCTTCTCAGGATGGCGAGGTTGCTGTAGCTCTGGGCACCACTTCCCCTGCCTCCTTGCCAGGCTGAGCCTTGGAGGAGGAGAGGAATGTGGGGGTGTTACCAAGGAGGGTGTGTGGTGGGACATGGCTGGGGGGGAGCTGATGACTATGAGAGGGGCAGCTGCCGGCTGGCCCCAGGCTGGGGAATGCCCCAAAAGTCAGGATTAGGGGTTTGGAAGTGGACCTGTCTAGGTGGCCACTTCACCAGATACTGACCAGGAAGCCCAATTCCCCCCAAAATGTGTTTGAGCCTCATGGGGGACCTCCCACCTAATGGGACCCTTCAAGATGAACAGACCAGCTTCCCCTCACCGTTCGGTATCCACAGATCCCACCATTTAGAAGATGCTTGTGGAGGTTTCTTATTCCCCACTTGTAGGAGAGCCCCCACCGGGGCAGAATGAGAGAGTCTAGCAGGCCAGTCACTTGCTTTCCCCGTTCACCTTGCAGCCAGGGACTGGGCTGGGACAATGGACTCCTCTCTGCTTGGCCTTGAACCTGAAGCTAGTGATTCAACTGAGACACCCAGCTGCAGTCTCCAGGTTCCAGGGACAGCAGGGCATGAGGCTGGGGTGCAGAGAGGGGGGAGAAGGCGGGTCCTAGCCCAGTGTTACCCAGGTGCATAGGTGTTCACGAACCCCTTCTATGGGGTGACCATGGCTGAGGTCTGGCTGGGCAGCCGCCTGCTCTTTGCTGCAGTCTGTCCGTCTGGCTGTCTGTCCTCCCTGGGGAGGCTGGGACTGGCCCTGCTGCGCCCTGCTCATTCCTTTCTGGTTAAAATCAGCCTGGGTCAGGTTCTGCACCTGGCACCTGAGGCCCTGAGGCAGGGCTACATTTGGGGCTCGGCCTCTGCAGAAGCCACCTAATGGCACAGCTATCTGTTATTTGCTTAGAACAACCAAAGAGTTTTCAGAGCTATGCCAACAGCACGCTGACCCTCAGAGGACGTCACCAGCCAGCCCAGTGGCCACCATCCTGGCCACCCACCCACCCACACGGGGTGCTGCTGCCCCCCACAGCCAGCACTAGGCCTGTCACAAATAGAATGAGCCTGGGGGCTTCTGGTGGCCGTGACCCAGTTGGCCAGGCCACACCCATGGCATAGCCGTCCCTCGCAGGAGACTGGGCAGATGCCCAGAGGGGTCACCATGGCTGCTGGCTGCACATGACCCTCCCAAGCCTTGCCCTCAAGGGGTCGCCCTGCTGCCAGTGTGGGCACTGAGGACGGTGGGTGCTCCAGGGGCCAGGATGGGGTGCGGCTCAAAATATTGTAGAAAAACCAATCTGGCTGCGCTGGGACCTCTCCCCAGGTTGTCCTCTCCCGTCCACACCATGGAGCTCATGTCCAGCACCTCCGAACAACTCCTGTGGCCTCTCCGCCCAGATGCCTCCAGTTTGCTGTTTGAGCTGTGTATTCAGATCATCGCACAACCCAGGGCAGTGGGTTCCATCTGTGCGCCTCCCCGAGGAGGCTGGGGTCTCTCCTGCAGCCCCGCCTGCCCTCAGGCAGAAAAAGGTGGGAGGCGCGGTAGTGAAGTGAGGAGGCCGGGCCTTGCTGTGTGACCCGGTGCAGATCCACTGCCCTCTCTGGGCTTCAGTCAAGGGAGAGGTTGTGATCTCTAAGGGACTGTCCAGTTCTGACAACCAGACCCAGGCCAGGGCGGGAGTTTGATGAGCAAGTCTAGACCTCATCTCCCTCCTTCCAGGGACTCCATCGTGTGCCAGACCAGAGTGCAGAGTGGGGAGCCCACGGGCCCTGCCCTCGACCCGGAGTTCCACTGCACACAAGGGCAGACCCAGTCCCTCGGCCCAGAAGCCGGGGAAACCCTGGTGGCTGGGTCTTAAACCAGGAGTAGGACTCCCTGGGCCCTGAGAGGAAGGAGGTGGCCCGTGCAAGAGGGAAGGGCCCCTGCAACTCTCTGGCCAGAACTGGGGGCTCCTGGCATACAACCCTGGAAGACGGGTCCCTGGGTGGAGTTAAGGATGGGACAGCCTTGCCCAGGAGGGTGGGGGAGTCTGGAGCAATCTGGTGGTGCCCTTCGTGAGCAAGGGCTCAGGACCCCTCTGCCTGTTCCTGCTGCAGGAGATGATGAAGGTGTCCGATGGCAGTCTCCTGGGGGACCCTGGGGACACACCACTAAGCAAGAAGCAGGGTGTCAAGTGGCAGAGGCCGAGGCTCACCCGCCAGGCCGTGATGCGGTGCTGCCTGGTCAAGTGGATCCTGTCCAGCGCGGCCCCACAGGGCTCAGGTAGGGCTGGGGCGGGGCTGGGGATCTGATCGGAGCTCTGTCCTGTCTAGGGGCTCAGAGATCAACGTGGGGCCCTAACCCAGGTCACACCACCTCTGTCTCCATCGGAGAGGTTTTCATTCATCCGTGCCCGTCCTCATTCATCCCTGCAGGCCGCGGAGCTCAGGGCAGGGCCTCCGAAGGCAAAGACAGAGGGCTGGGACCATGCTGAGGTGCTACTGGGGTCGCTGGTGGGGTGGAGCCCAGTTTCAGAGGCTGGCAGGCTGGGCTTGCTGCACCCACCTCACCTGCTGGGTAACATGGGGCCGGAACTCATCCTTTCTAAGTCCTCTGTTGCCCAGCCAGTGTGGCTTAGTGTTTGAGCATTGACCCTTGAACAGGAGGCCACGGTTCAATTCCTGGTCAGGGCACATGCCAGGGTTGTGGGCTCGATCCATAGTTGAGGGGCATGCAGGAGGCAGCCGATCAATGATTCTTTCTTATCTTTGATGTTTCTCTCTCTCCCTCTCCCTTCCTTTCTGAAATCAATAAAAATATATTAAAAATATAAAACAGATGTCATGAATCTCACACAGGCAGTTCTGCATGAGAAGGGAAGAGTAATGACCTGGAAGATGCCAAGACCACAAAGCCTCTTGTGGACACTGTGCTGTGCACACCTGCACAGCATTCACACACACACATACACAGGTGTCCATGCCACACGCAGGCACACACACAAACAGGTGTGCACGAGATTCTGCACACACAAACAGGTGTGCACGAGATTCTGCCGCTCTGACTTTAAGGAAAGGGTGCAGATGTGGCTCTGACAGCTGTCTGGTTTGTTTTCTCAGACACTCTGATTTCCAGGGGCCTCAGTCCCCTTCACTGGAGAATGGGCACAGCCGTGGCCCTATTCCCCCAGCATGATGGGGTAGGAGTGAGGAGGGTGGAGGGAGGAGGCT